TGGAGAGGCGCATAGTGGGCCCGTGATAGTTCTGCGAAACAAGCGGATGGCGAGCCGAGTATGCCACAGTGTTTTCTCCTGCCCATGCTCTGATGTTTACAAGAAGGCCTGGCGCACAAAGCGAGTCAAGTAGCAGCTCCAACCCCGGGTGCATTGAAGGAAGCTTTCGAAACAAAGCTTGGTTCCTTGCTTCTCTTCGATTGTTCTGGACGAAACTTTCACGAAACACCCGGGGACAGCCGGAAACTTTCTTTACGGAGTTTTGCTGGCAATCTGGTATTGCGCCACTACAAGCGCTTTCTCACAAGAAGGGCCTGGATCGCTTGTGCTTTTCGCGCAATCGGCTTTGGCAGCTACACCTTCGTATGCAAGCAGTTTGGATTGCCATTGGCTGCGACAGATCCAGTGAGATCGAGTGCCTCCGACACTGTCGAGAGCCTTTTGCGAAGCACCGCTGTTAAGCTGCCAGCGCCTGGGAAGAAGTCAGACACAGGGCAAGTTCAAGATGGATGCAATTTTACGGCTTTCAGCTCCAAAGCATCCTCCCAATGGTGGTCCCGATGTGCACACTAGGGCCACCTAGGGACTTCTCTTGCTATGGGGTGCCTGGACGGCTATCTTCTCTTGAGGGGGAGGCCTTTCCCCACGGCTCCGGGCCAGACTAGTTTTCAAGACAAGGCGCAGATTGGGACACCGTGGACTCAGGTTCAGCAGAGCGGCCAACGTCTCCAGTGCCAACACGCTGTTTACCTTGGCACGGCTCCACGTCACATCTGGGTACAATCGTTAAGCGGACGCACTTGCTGTGCTATGGGTGTCGGGCTACGGCTACGGCCCTCCCAGTTGCGTTCGTTACTGTTTTGTTACCGACGGGCTCAGGCAGTGCTAGGAGTGACGGCTTACGTGATCCGAGGACGCACCGTCCTTACGGCCTATCGATGGTAGGGAAAGGTGGGAGACTGCTCTTTTGAGTACGGCCCACCAGCTGCCAGTTCGTGAGGATTGGACGCAATGACTCAGACTGAGGGTGTCGGAAGTAGTCTCACCTTGACCGGACCTGAGCAGTCTTGAAGCAAGTGCCCAAAAAATGTCACAGCACTGAACATACTTCGAGTTACCCAGGCCTCACTCTTTTAATTCCTTTATCTACATGTACAATCCATTTTCCTTCTCTGAGGATGTCGGCAAGTCTGATACTACGGGCGGCACTGGCTTGACGCACGTCTGAAGTTGACTGGCTCATTGACCCGCTAGGACAGCGTCCAATAAAAAAATGTTGTTGTTGTTACTGTTGCTGTGAGTGGTGGTGGTTGCTAATTGTTGTCGTTGCCTCTGTTGTTGCCGGCGGTGGTGATGGTACTTGCACTTGCACACGCAGCGAANNGTTGCATGGCAGCATAGCTGCAATGATCACTATTGGACCATCCCCAACCTCCTAGAAGCGGCCGCCCGTGGGGCCTATAACGCACCGCATCTACAACTGTTTGGCAGAGAATGCCGTGCGAAGCTAAGAAGCTACAGAGCACAAAACTTGACACAGACTGAGCAAGCTGCTAGCGGGAAGATGCTGGGCTCAAAAAGATGACGTACACGTTCTCCTGAAAGACCCTAGCATCAGACAGGCTAGGATTGGTAGCCGAGCTATAGTCATCAGTGTACCAGCATCGACCCGAGGTCTCAAAAAGGACTGAGCGGTAGTGTCCATTGCGTGTGGACTCACCCAAGTGGATCAAAGCAGCTCTCACTAGGAAGGGCTTCAGCTGGATCACTCCTTCAACCCAGCAGGGGAGGTGAACTCGCAAGGGCAGGGCTACTCGGCTGCGACATTTAGCAACACCAGCTCGCTGCTGGAATCTGTTCAGTTGCAATGCCACGCACCTGGCCTCAGAGTAGAGCGCTGGAGAGCCTGATTGCAGATGCCAGGCATCAACTATCTCCTGAAGCCTACAAGCTTGTCTATCACCACAGAGCTTGGGGAGGTCACCTTGAAGAATGATGGGACAGAGACTACCGGCATCTGTGAGTTGGCTCTCATGCATAACGAGCCATTGTCCCCCAAAGCTGGAAAGCAGGGATTGCTGGCGCAAGAAAGTGAGGAAGTCTGCTGCATCCTGTTGCCTGCCTTCGTGTGGCCACTGCTGGAAAAGGCGTGCCCAGGCACCTGTGCTCCAAAGGTGGTGCGAAACTGTCGGTCCTTGAAAGGCGGAAACCAGGCCCCTGACAAGGGTCGGAGGTTCACCTCCAGAGAAGCACAGTACGTTGTAGTCCATAGACTGGCAAGCAACACAGAGTTAGCATAACACTCATTGGATCGATTACCCAGCTTAAGCTTACGAAGGGCCACCCGTATGGCTTCAGGGGAACCTATTTGGGGGGGAGCGTGTCGGTGCCTCCGCAGTTGAGCCACTTTCTGAGCAGCTGTGGAGCGCGCCATTCTTTCGCGCCGGAGAGACGCCGCAATGAGGCGCAGCACTGAACACCCCGAGAGTCTCTGTAGTAGCTCCCAGGTGCGATACGATTTGGGACTGCGAAGACCCAGCTCGATCATCCAAGTCACGGTGGGTCCCTCCATGGCAGGCGCCAGGTCCCTCGTTGGATGAAACCTGGGAAGCACTCCATCCTGCACCGAAAGGATCATCAGCTCGTCCAACATCTGAATCACGTCTCGCTGTTCCAGGGGCTGAAGGCTTGGGACGATCTCCGGAGCTTTGGTGGTTTTGTTCCACACCTGGTACGGAAACGCTCCTTGCTCCGTGACAATCGAGAGTCTCTGCGCATCCTGAAACGAGGTCTGGCAGGATTCTAGCTTCAAGACTCGTTGTTTGAGTTCCATGATCAACGCCTGGAAAAGCACCAGCCTGATCGGATGTTTGAGGGCCGTTGGATCTGCTTCCTTGGTGGCCCTCCACTGCTCTCCCACTTTGTGGAGCGTCGGGACAATGGTGAGGAGGGGTGCCGTTCCCAGGAAGGCCACCATGGCAGTGGACTGTTTGAGGATATTCAGTTGATCCTCGTGCCGGAGTAGCACTGTGGCCATGTTGTACAGCAGCTCGCGGTCGTTCGTTGTCGACTTGTTGCTGAGGCCAGAAGAACCGAAGGGGGCGCTGTTTGGGAGACTGTTCCCCTGGTGAGGTCCCTGGGTGCTGGGGTGGGCCCTCCTCCTGTTGTCTCTGGCCTGGTGGCCTTGCTGCGCCTGGTTCCTCCCCTTCCCTCGCTTGGGCTCCTGTCTCGGGAACTTGGGTGGGGTTTTTGAGTCTGTGAGTGGCCAAACCTCGGGTCTCGGAGGCTCCTGGGAGGCCCAGGTCTGGTGCTGACTGGAGTAGGCACGGTCTGTGCTGAAGCTTTGGCCCATGAGCGCTGCCGTCTGGAGCGCCTGCAAGTCCGCGGCCGCCTCCTGCAACTCCTCCTGGGAGATCTGCTCCAGATCCATCTTCCTGCGGGGAGAGGCTTGTCGAAGGGCCAAGATCAGTGCAGGTAAGGAGAATCTGCAGGCATCTTGACAGCAGTATGGCAGGACACTCAGCTGCGTGTTTGGTGGGGTGTCCTGAGCACTTCGCGCTACAGTAGCGACACTGGGAACCTAGAGCGAGTGTCTTCCTGACCTCTCGAGCCCGCTGTCTCGCAGTTTGCAGAGCCGAAGTGGCGAACGAGTGAAAAGCTTGAAGGTGATGACCTAGACCACGCGCCTTTACGAGCCACTGGTCACAAATGGGACAGCGATGCAACAGATCCGAGTCTCCCCGTTTGATGACTTTAGCAATTTCCTCCCAACTGCAGCTCCTATTTTCGCATTGCAATAGGCTACGCAGCTGCCAGTAAAGTGGGAGCCGATTTTGGAGAACGTCAGCCGGCGGGGCACACCGGATGGTATCTGGAAAGAGTTGAGGGCACGCCCTAGTGAAAATATGCACTTTCAGATCGTCCCAACAGTAGCATTCACGACCACAATGCCTACAGATACAGAGACCCTGCGTGGAATGTAGCCAAGCAAACCTAGTTTGCGCATCCGCAGTGCTCATGGCACTGGGAAGGTCGAGTTGCATGCAGGCATCATCCGAATGAGCTTCCACATTGCGACGCTTATTGACAACCTCACTGGGGTCTGCGTCGGGAGCAACAGGGGCTTGCAGTGAAACCTCCAGGGGAGTATCCGGAGGAATGTGGCAACCTTTGTGTTTGACGCTGATGTGCACTCGAAGAGCCCCTAGAGACTGAAAGGTTTGTTGACACTCCGGACACTGGAGGGTTCTGTGGGCAAAGACACTGCGCTCACTACGCTGCGAGGCGGCGTTCTTCAGTAGCAGAGCATCGCCTTCCAGAGTTAACCGCTGCTCAGCGGAGGTGTGGGGCAGACTAGTGGAGAGACCCGGAGGGGGATGATGCATTGTGTCGTTAGCTGGCATAAAAACTGTCGCTAAGTGGGCCACCCATGTACAGACCCCAGGCTGAATGAGGAGAAGGGAGGGTCTGTGTGTCCTGACAGCAAACTGCTGGCAGAGGAGATCGCAGGGATCCACAATATGGAGTCTGGCCAGCAGTGCCTCTGAGGTCGCATGATGAATATGAGCGGGCGACTTCGCAATGAGACGGATCTGCCTGTGTACAGCTTGTCGTAGAATCAGGGGTCCTGTGGTCGGCATGCCCACCTGACACAGCGAGTAGCGGGCAATGCTGAAGACACACAGGTTCCACAATCTAAGCTTAGTGGTGAGTGGCAGAGCGCGACTTCGGAGCACATGAAACAACCTCCAGAACGCTCCCCAGGCAATGCTCAGACGATGCCTAAGATTAAGCATCTCGAAGCCATGATAGGACAGCTTAGTTCCTAGGTACGTGTGTTCACTGACAAGTCGAAAGCTGTAAGTCCGTTTTCCCACCCTCACCCTGAAGTGAGGGACGCCTTCAATTTCATGCCTATATCCCGAGAGAACAGACTGCAGACTCGTGCCAGTAGCAGACAGCAAGATAACCGTCTTATCAACGCTCAGCTGTAGTCCCGCTTCTTGCAGGGCCTGGATCAGAAGACCAGTGGCCCTTACAGCTTTACGAAAGTCTTCTGGGGGACAAAAAATCCAAGAGGAGAACGCGTCGTCTGCGTAAAGCGAGGCTGTTTGCGCGGTGAGCCTGTCAGCCTGCAGGAGCTGCATATATTTGTGATATATGTGTCCAGTCGACAGCGACCACAGGAGTGGAGAAAGACTGCATCCTTGTCGGATTCCAGAGGAGAGGAACGCATGTGCAATGTGCGGGGACAGCCCGAATTGCATATCAGCTTGCGAGTGTAGGTGCATCACCAAGTCAATCTCATCCTGGGTGAATGAAGCAGCTTGCATGGATTCTCTAAGGAAAGGGTGTGGGAGACTGTCGAAGGCCTTGTGAACGTCGAGACTGATGGAGATTCCCCCCACCAGTTTAACCGGCTCGCTGCCTCGAAACCTCTGGAGAAGAGAGGTAGAATTGGCAGCAACCAGTTCTCGAACCTGGTGGAGGTGAGCGCACACAGCTTCGATCGAGTCAGCTGTTGATCTGCCGGGTAAATAGGCCCATTGAGGAACCCGATTGAGGAAGCTCACTAGTTTCGGGAGCACCCTTTCAGCAAGCATAGATGCCAACACCTTGTTGCAAGGGTGCAGTAGAGAGATTGGCCTAACCTGTTTGGGGAGTTTAACAATGGCAGCCTTTGGGAGCGTGCAAACCTGCACTTCGTGCCATCTGTTCTGAAGGACGCCCTGGCTAAGGTTGATGGCTGGCAAAAGGGTCGGAGCGATAATGGCGGCATGATCTTTCCAGAGTCTAGCCGGTGCAAAGCCTTGTGGCAAGGCCTTGCTTTGTTGCATGCCCTGAAGGGAGCGTATGAGATCCGACAACTCAAAAGAGACCCCTTGAATGGGTTGAGCACACGGCGGGCGAGTCCAGCCTCGACTGCCGTAGACACCTCGGAAGAAATCCGCAATGGCCTCAGACTCTTGCTGTGGGGACAGGAGAATGCCGTTTGCATCTCGGAGCTGGAGCCTTCGGTGGCGGGATTTGGGCGCAAGCCGACGAAGAACACTGTAGATTACCGACAGGTGTGGCGAAGCGGCGGCCTCCTGCAGGAGGAGTTCAACCTTTTCCTTTTTCTTGTTCCTACAGATTTTGTGCAGTCGTCGTTGCAAACGCGCAAGTTTGGCAGCTTGCAGCCAGCCACGCAGGACTGAGAAGGTAGCTGGCGCCGCTTGGCGGAGCCGGCGCAGTGTCCAGAGTTGCCGAACAAGCCCTGGTGAGTGAGGCTGAGTGCCAACCGCGCGGCCTTGTCGAGGGAGATCCGTCGTGACAGCCTGCCACGCTCGAAGAAGTGCTCTGTTGACTGCATCGGCCGGGTCAGCATCCTCACCTGACGCGAGGGCAGAGTCGGACTTGGACAGGGTCGGCAATGGGTTGCTGGACCTGTGCAGCAAGGCTTGTGGTTAAGTGGGGGTGATCCCGGAGGGTGGCATTCACAGTGGAGGCAGTGAGTCTCGGCCCCTGGGCTGGTGTGTCCTGAGGTCGGGTAGGCATGGGCACAGACGCGAGGACAGGCAGGTGGTACATACCTTGCGTAGAGACGAACGGTGTCAGCAGGGGGCGGGCGCAACGCGAAGCTTGATCAGCCTGTCCGTGTCGCATAAGGATGAAATCTATTTGTGTCTGCTGCAGGAGACCTTGTCTTTGGAAACGGTAGGTGTAGGCGTGCTTGCGGCGCTGCCACGAGTTAAGCACATTAAGACTGAACGTGGACAACATGGACTGAAACCTAGTCTGGTCCGACTGTCGAATGGCACTGAGGGCGGGGACACCATTGCCTGCGAGAGGGGGCTCTGGAGTACACGGAGTATTAAAGTCTCCCGCAACGAGCAACTGGGATCTCCAGGGGGTGCCTCGTACCGCTGAGTGCAAGGCACTCCAGACCTCCTCTCGTTTCAGATGTGAGTCCTCACCTTGTGCAGTAGCAGCTTCACTCCACACAAACTGGTAGACAACAAACAGCGTGATAGCCGGATTCTTATCTAATCGGACCTGCACCAGTCTGCCAGGAATGTGGGTGTGTGTGCGTGTGGCCGAAGCAGACACAAACGATTTGTCAATCATGATGAGGATTCCTGCCTGTCGCTTGCTGAGACCGCTGTGTATGCAATGATGCTGGTCAGTTTGCCATTCAGAGTCCAGGGACCAATGGGTCTCCTGGACGACACAAATGTGAACAGGAGAGCCCATTTCCTTACACTGCTTCAGCCAGGTCTGAATTTCAAGAAGTTTCGTAGCCGAAAGCCCCCCCGAGTTCCAGGTGAGCAGCCTCCAACGATCCGAAGCGGCACTCGGCTTGACAGACGCAGAACCCGCCCGAAGTGGATTTGCTGGTATCGATAGGTGATTCTCGGTGGGAACGCCAAGGGATGCAGCAGTGTGGGTCCGTCCTCTGTATCGGACCGTACCGTGCACGCGGACACGTCTGATGGCTCTATGGAGAGACCGTTTGCTTGTTTGGCTCAGTTGTCGATAAACAGTTGGGGAGGTTGGGGGGTGACCATAGATGGCCTGATCACGTGGCTTCGCCCTCTCATTGTGACAGGATGGGGGCAGGTTGTGAGGGGCTTCAGCAGGGCTCGTGACTACACCTGCAACCCTCACGTCTGTGGCGGCTCTCACCATGCTGACTAAGTGGAGAAAAACTATGTGAGTAAGCCTACCACCCTGGGACTTGGGACCCAGGCAGCTCGCGTGTTTGTCTCGCGTGGTTGGGGTAACTGCCTTCTTGGATAAGGCTCGATCGTGGAAGACAGGGGGAGGCGCCCGCTTTTGCAGGATCAAGAAGGATGGGGGGGAAAGAGAGCAGCACTGACAGTACGGAGCTTCGGGATGGATGGAGGCAACCTCCGTCGTGCTATCCGAGCAAGGCTCTTCGACCGTGATTGGCTCTCCCTGTGCTTTGTAGGATGTAAAAAGACAGGGCCAGACTGGACGCGCAAGTGACCAGAGGATACGCCTATTGGCATCTCGAAAGAGCACAGCCCGCCTCCGGAAGAATTTGGCTCCCCAGCTGCATGAGGGCCTCCAAACAGGGCTCTGTGGGCTTGGGGGTGAGGCTGTTCGACGGGTTTCCGTACTCTGAACCAGCTCTATTCGCCTGTGCGTGGGCAGAGAGGTCGTCATAACTTCATCCCTTGGATGCTTCGGAGAGACTACCTCCGTGGTTTCCCAGCACCTAGCAAATCCCTGAACTGAAGGAGGGCAACCTCCTCGTAATCGGCTCCTGCCGGAGGGTATGACCTGGGTCTCCGCTTCCGTCGGTGGTACCTGTACCAGAGGCTGAGGCCGGTCGGGTGCACGACATCCGCTGATAGAGGGGCTCATGGCAGCAGGTAACAGTCGTGGCAGCAAACAGGTGAATGACACTGGGCAGGGGAGTGGTGCTGAGCCGCACATGAGTCCTGAGTGACCACCGTTTTCTTCCGCAGGACAGCGACAGTCCACTCTCACGCGAAGAAAACAACGACTGCAGCGAAAACCGGCCCTGACAAGCATCTTTGCACATGCTGCGCTTCGTGGCGGAAGTCGTGTGCTGCTGAGAGCCGTTGCCACCGGTGCAAGGGGGTGCTCGGGTGATGCATGATGGTGTTCTCCGAGCCAACCAAAGTCATGCTCCGCCTCCGGTGCCAGGCCATGCTGTGCCTCCAGACGAGATAGGGAACGAGGCCCAGCTTCTGAGGAGGAAGCCGCCTCCCCTGGGCTGAATGGGCGGCTTGTGTGGTGATCTGAAGATTGTCCAGAAAGATGCGGGGCTCTGCTTGGCTTAGGAGCCTGTCGTGCTGGTGCAATCACTGTCTCAATGTCACGCTTCTTTGTGCGAGACCGTTGCTCCTCGACATCTCGAAGTTGGGGGCTTACGGTGGGCACTGGCATGGGTGACAAGGGCTTCGACGACAGTCCAGTCATAGGAGCCCGCAGTGTATGCAGAATCTGTGGCGGGTATTCATGCCTCTGTGGAACTCGCTGAAGTAGCTGACCGACCGGCGTACCTGGTTCTGCCCTCATGTGTCCAACTGGTGTTGAAGCAGGGGCCTCTGGGGAGGGCTCCAGCCATGCTTCATCCTCCGACCAAGCAGGGTCAGGGATAGGACTCAGCTCCAGATTCGGAGGAAAACCCTCCGGTGAAGAGGCCAACCAGGCATCATCATCATCCGACTGAACATGGTCATCTTCCCCATCTGGGGAATAGAGCCGAGAAGAGTCCGAGGGAGAGGCCATGAGAGAAGCTACCACAGGTCCCCGCACGATGCTAGCTTTAGTGGCCCTATGATTCACGAGGAACACAGCTTCTATCCTCCTATGGTGAAGCACCAGGACATGTACCCTTGCAGTGGGGCTGTGGGGCCTATAGGACTGCCACGAGGGTACCACTCTCACTGGTAGAGCAGCTTCATTGCCGCAGCAGGAGGTGCGCATGATGCTTAAAGCCCAAAACGAGAATCCCTGGGACATGTATAAGCAGCAAACCCATATGCAAGCCAGCACAATGGACTGTGGCGCACTGCTGCGGCGACAGGCTCCGGAGGGGCACCTCCGTGATGAAGGCTGCAGCCGGGCTTCCTGCAACGAGTTAGGGTGCTGTAGTTTGCGCAGGGGTAGGGGCAGCAATGATGACATGAGGAAGCTGCGCAGGCAGAGATTGACCCCGGAACCTGCTCATACAGGACAGTAAGCATGTTACAGCAATTGAGTTCCAGCACCCCACGAGACCAAGGCAACTGAGATCCTGACATTGACGAAAGGGTCGGGTAGGGTGCCAAAGCAATGGGTTTGTGGGGCCGAAAACTTCTGAACATGCTACGGCACAAGCAAGGACCCATGTACTCCAGATCGCTGCCACTGGGGTCAGATTCTGCACTGGCCGGCGTCGGGGCTTGGTGCCTCGTCGGAGGGCAAACCTCCTCCCAGCTCTGGGCGCTTGGGATCTTACTCAGGCTCCCTGGATGCACTTCGGCCTCCCTAGGGCGAGAGGGATCTACGAGGCGCCATGATCTGGACCTTGACCTGGAGCATTTTTTGTCAGCCTTCTTGCTCTTCTTCTTGTCCTTGATCTTGTCCTTCTTGGGCCAGCTGGATTTGGACTTCTTGTCCTTCTTCTCATGATCCTTGCAGGCTTCATTGTCCTTGGTTGTCTGCTGTGCCTGCTCGCCCACGACCACTTGCCCGGACTGGGACGCTGGCACCGGAGTCGGCGCATAAGGACTCTCCATGGACTGACCACCCGTGGCTTCTTGGCCGAGCCATCACACGCTGGCAAAGGTTGGGGCGCCTCAGCCGGCTTCGATGC